CTTGAAGGACCAGGTTAGGACAGATCATCATGGAGAAAATCTATCTATGTGGTTGCTAAAAGTCAACACCAACTTGATCAACTGACATAATCAATCATGAAAGATTTCACAAATGGACAGGAATCTTTACTTAAACACCCCTCTGAAATCGCCCATAACTATTTAAACACACACACACACACACACCTTGGATACTGGAAAATTAAGCTTTATCACAATCAGGTGATGTTTAATAGTTCTGTGTGTCCATATATTATAAATAAGATAGTTAAAACATGAGGCCACAATAGCTCTCAGTGCTTTGGTTCAGCAATCTGGGGTAGCTTTGGACACAAAAGCTGAGTCTGACTCTGCAAGAGGCAAATGCTTAGCCTGTGAGTTATTTGTAATAATGTGCAGTTAAATCCTATGAAGGTCAGTGAAATAATGACATCAGAGAAACACAAACAGAGAGAAAAAGCAATTAATTTACATTGTATGGTTTTGGGCCTATTTGTCCAGGTCAGATAAAGGAGAGGAGAATATGGAATATTCTGCCAATTTTATCTGGCACAACTTGCATTGATTATGCTGCAACTTACAAACAGTTCCTTTAGCCTTCCCAGTAACCTTTCTCATTTTGATATTTCTGTTCATACTCTTCTTTTTCTTAAAGGTAATTATGCTCATTTCTGTTAATGCTATCAGCAAATCCATAATCACATATCAATGATTATTACTACCTTCACACAATATCCATGATTATGTGCATGAGCCCATAATTTTATTCCCCAGTTACAAACTGAAAGATCATAAAAAAGTATTCTGTCTTGATCAAGAACACATAATCAGCTATAAGGACATTGCTAGTAACATGAGGCAGAAACAGATAGTAAGCTTCTAAATTGGCTGGGAGGAAAGTAAACTATGGAAGGTTACCTAAACACTACATATCTATTGTGAATGTCTAGGATAGAAATAAATAAACATATGTCCAGATGCTTTGGATATTGGCTTTCACAATCTCTTGCTGCTTGGTAATATTGCCATGGGCTGAGAAGAGTTTGAAGTTAATTTCTGCACTTTATTTCATTAAAAATGTGAAAACTCATATTGCACAAAATCTGTATTTTTGGTGCCACATTTTGGTAGCACAATACAAGAATGCCCTTGAGGATGCAAAACGGCTGGGGGCCACACATATTCTTAAGGTTCAACAAACCTGGATTATATGGTTTGATGCAGTTATTTCTTTGATTCCTACTTCCAGGATTTCCTAGTCAGCATTGTTCACAGATGATGGTCTGTGTTGGAATAACAAAAAGACAACATAGCTCTTCATCATCTTTAGCTTTCTCTTATGAACAGGTGCCTGCCTTTAAAAACAATAATCTCAGGATATTGAGGGAGAGAAAACAAGGAAACAGATATAAATCAGATCTTAGTCAGCTACTCAATGAGATGTGAAATAGGTTCCAGGACAGATCATACTGTACAACCAACTTGTTAGCTATGAAAATATATAGAGTGATATTGTGTTTGTGTAACTGAGCCATGATGCCTTTCTTTCTAGTGAAAATGTAGTTTTTTGCATATTTAATAGAAGATAAATGTTTCAGAGCTATCTTAATGAAAATGTTGTCCTTCTAATACAGATTTCCCTCATTGCCTATGAACAGACAC